CTACCAAGAATGAGCAGAACCAACAACGAGACAACACACCCCAAAACTGTCCAACTGTAAAGTTACGCCCGCCCAACGCCGAAACCACTCGAGCGACTCTCGGAGTCTTTTCTCCGAGTCCAATGGCCTCGAGTGGCTCGAATAGCCCCGGTCCCGGCTGCGGCTCCGATCCCGGTCGCGGTCCCGGTCCCGGTCGTAGCGGCCTCGAGGTGATGTGGGTCCCGGTACCCGGCTGGTTTTGGATGCGAACCATTAAAATACAGTTGTAGGGGTGGCATGGGGTCTAGCGGGGGGTTACTGCCCTCAAACTCTGAGACGATTGAAGTACCTTAAGGGAGGGGTGGGCAACACACTGACTGGAGGTGCAACTTGATCTTTGCCCCGGCACATGCTGGGGGAGCTGGGGAATCCAATTCGCTCAAAGGGTGTCCCTTCCACCCTTCTTGTTTTCCCCAGAGTTCCAAGGGCAGGATAAGGATGACACAGGGAACGCCCAAGCATGCAGCGCGCTTTTCGCCCGGAAAGCATCGAACTCAGCCAGGAAGATCCACCTGCGGGTCAAGCGCTGTCACCAAGGGGCGATCGAATGTGTCAGCTGGGCTTCCTCCTACCCTCCACCCTACTGACAAGTAGATCCAACCACCGCATGTCCCACTGGCAAAAAAACAAACAGCCCCCAAACCCAAGAAGCATGCAGTTGACTCTCCAAAGCCCAAGTCACAGCCTTTGTCTTAGCCACCAAAACAGCCTGCGGCTCCAAGTTTTGGATAGCTCCCTAAGAAGCATTTGGGAATGTCGAAATAGAAATTCAAAACCCAACGGGTAGGTGTTTCCTTGTGCCTTCCCTTTCAACCACTCTGAAAGGAAGTAACAGTACCCTTCAAAACACACACCCATGGCTTCCCGTTCAGGATGACGAAATAAGATATGGCTCACTTCAGCTTTGTATTGAAACAGGATCTCAACATGCTTTGAGGCACGTCAAATGGACGCCCATTCTAAATCAAACAAATCCTCTAGCAAATCATCCCGCAGCAAAAGGGAAGCTGGGGGGTAGCCAACTGCATAGCCTAGTTACAAAGGGTTACAGCAGGGGCTTAAAAAGAGGTTCAAGTGGGGTTGCCGTCCGCCTCCTGCACGGAAGCCCAAAGCCGATCCGCGCTGCTGTCGCTGTCGCTGCCTTCAAAACGGGCAGGACGGCAGTACTCAGGGTGGTCCTTTTCTAAGGGCATTTGACATAATTGTAAGATAGGATAATGTTCCAAGGTTATCAAAGCGGTTTTCTCAGAACCCCCCCCCCCCAATACTAAACAATTCGAACAACTGGAAATCATGAATAAACATGTATAACACAAATGCTATTGGAGCGGTCCCCACAACAGACCCCAAAATTCAAACAGGCCCCACCACAAATACAAAGTTTAAATCCGCAATAACCCTCCCTGATGCCGCTTCTCTCTTCTGGTCCATGCTGCTGTGTTAAGGTTGGCATACCTCGAATACAAATCTTTGGGGGCCATCCAGCTTTTAGGGAAAACATCGGCCGGGCGGATTCATTCCGGAGGTTTTCGCCATGGATTTCAATCGAGGAAATTGGGTGGCAAGATGCTCTCGGAACTGCCGCTCTTGCCCCAGCTCCAAAACTACCCAAAAGAAAGTTGTCGAGTTCGACCTACGGGCCCTTCATAGCATCCCAAACTACCCAAGGCCAGAAAAGTTCCTCCAAACAAAGCTTTGAAGTCCCCTTAGGGCCCACTAAACGTGGATTTTGGTGGACACCCACCTGAAAGGCGCTCCCCGCCTGCGCCTGCGTCGAGATCAGAAGCCTCGGATTCTCCAGAGGCTTCTTCCTCCTCGATGGTGCCCAGCTTCGGCAAACGCCCTGCGACTGCGCCCTCGACTCAAACGAAACAACCCTGGAGTCTCCATGACCCTTCAAAAATGAGGTCATTACCCAAAACAAAGGCCTTTTTTTAAGGGTCATGGAGACTTCAGGAATACTTGGACCAAACCGAAAATGCGAAAGGAGCTATTAATTTTAGCCCGTTTTTCGTTCCGGGCGACGAAGAAGTTGAACAGCTGAGACCCAATCAAACATGCGACCCGTTTGTCCTAGTAGTTGACGGCCTTGGAGATTCAAACACCCAAACATTTCTGGGTGTTTTGGGTAATGGGTACGATTTGAGAAAAACTGGGCGTTCTAGTACGAACCGCTGGAAAACTATTACGAAGGCCGGCATCTAAGGTGCTGGTTGGGAGGACATTTGAAACAAACTCTGACAGCATATCAATAGTGCCTGTTGCAGTGCTTGCAGGTCCCTTTGCAAGCATGACTCTACATCGGTCCCAAATCAGAGCATGCTTTGGATTATCACCCAAAAGATGTTAAGACTAAACTTGCCCTGATTTGCGCACCACTCCCCCGACACAACTAGGGTTGAAGGGCTTGGATAGAGGGAACGTTTTGAAGGGTTGTCGAGTTTAAAAGTTGCAAAAGATTCGAAAATGAGGCTTAGGGGGCAACATTAAACCGAATGCGAGAGAAACCCTGTGCAACAAGGAAACACCCAACAATTCCAATTTCTGGGCGTGGAAAAAGTCGTCTTGCGGCAAAAGTGGTACGAAACAGGCAAACACAATATGATGATCAAACCCCCCGGTTGTTTTCTAGTTGTTTCAAGCTACAGGGCTCGGGAATCTTCGCACACTTGGACAACTTCCACTCGTCCTCGTGAAGCTCTCCCGGTTCTAGTCCAGGCCTTCGGGCCCCAAAGTAGAGTTCCACATCTCCCTGTTTCAGTGCTCGCCCCGCAAGAACTGCAATAGACAAATACAGACATCTGCAAATATGGCGGTGGCGAATTCAAAAAGCCGGTACCGAAATGGAAGCCTGGTCAGTGGAAACATGGACCAACACCTGCGGTTTGCCCCTCCGATCGTCAAATTTTGAGCCCTCTGGAACTTCAAGACATGAGAAATGCTCAGAAACTGGTGCGCTTCGCCCAGCTGCGAGGCCGCTTGCGGAAGGGAACCCCTCCCCTTCGTCCCCTGGCCGCCTCGCCGAGCCTGGCGGGCACTGCGCCTGAGTTCTGAGTGGCGTAAACGGGTCCCGCGGAACCCAAGCCAGTGCCACCCAAGGTCTTCGGAGGTGTCCCTCCAGGAACCCCCCCGCTGTGTGGCAGGTTTGGAAACTTGAAAAGAACCTTTTGCTTGTGAAAGGTCAGAGCTGAACCAAGTCATAGGTGTCCTTTGCAGTTGCTCAGATTCCAGCTTCCTTGGCTGTGGCTGCGGGACCCAAGAATGGCTCACCTCGAAAAAGGCAGGGTTCTTCTCTGGCCAAAAGAAGTCACTGAGAGCCTTACCTGCCAGCTGTTTACTGGGTTCCACCCTTCTAACTCATGGCCGCTGAGATCTTGGCCGGGCATCTTGCTCCTCGTCTTCCTGGCCATTCCAGGCGCAGCGATTTGAGCGTTCAACAATGGGCTGGTCTCCAAACGTGGTACAAATCAGGGGTCGGCCAAAAAGGGGGTGTCCTTGAATTGTCCTCTGAGGGTTGACTAAATCAATCAACATTTCTTTGTGATGTCCTCTTGGGGGTGACTAAATAAATCAACATGGCGGTGTGCTGACAAAACCAAATCAAAATGTTTCCGTAAACCCTCGGTCTCTTTTACCTGTAATTTCAACGAACACATTGGTTTTTGGCCTCTCAGTTGCCCAAAAAACCTGTTGATACCAGTGTGTTGCAGGTCAACCGGATGAATGGCTTGGAGGGTCATGAATTTGGGTGAATTATCATTGTAAACCCAGGTTTCAGCTACGCGCCCTTTTTCTTGAACACAAACGGCTTCCAGGTATTCCTAGACTCCTCCCAGTGCCTTGCCGCCAGGCTCGCACTGCTACAAAATGCTGCCCTCTTTTCGGGCTAAGGTCAAAACGTCGCCCCTTTTCGGGGCTAGCTCAAGCCGCGCTGAACCTCTCCTCTCCTGCAATTCGCGCAGGGCTGATAGGTCACTCCCCGCCCAGCGCACGTCTCCAGCACATGCCACAGGCCATCTCCTGTGATGTGCACTGCTCCCGGATGAACGAAGAGCAGCCGCCTGAAGTCCGGTGTCGTGCACACCGGGCATGGCAGGGTCTCCATGACCCGAGTTGCCCTCCTCAAACCATAGCAATTCTCGCGGGCATGGTACTTCTCGCCCGTCATGGTGTAGAACACGCTAGGCTCCACCGGGATTCCGTCGTCCTCCGACTCAGGCTCGGGAATGTCTTGGTGACCACTCCCTGCGGCCCTCGATGCTGGGTTGACGTCAGCACCGGCTCCGCGCGATCCTGCCTGGGGTTCCGACCAAGGCCGTAGGTCCCTGCCAGGATCTGTCGCCTGTTTGCCCGTTCCTTTGTGGTAGCCCTTGCTGTAGCCCTTGCTGTAGCCCTTGCTGTAGCCCTTGGTGACCGCGATCCAGTCCACATTCCGTGCCGCGGTTCCCCTCGGCTCCACAGGCGTCTTTCCAATTCCCTTCGCCATAGATGGTGCCGCCGTCGTCCTCTTGGCTGTAGCCCCCAACTCGCCTGAGCCAGTCCCGGCACCAGATGAGGACCTCAACGGATCCTGCTCAGATCCCACATTCAATCTCGGCGTAGAAGGCCGTCTTGCCGTAGGGCTCGGCTCATCCACCACCGAAGAGGTAGGCCTCGGGGTAGTCCTCCTTGTGGATGACCCTCTAGCCGTTGACGATGACGCAGCCACCTCCTCTGTCTCTTCGACTTTCTCCACTCGCATGCTCTGGATCCTCGGTCCACCCCATCGCTCTTGTACCTTTGCCGCCAGCAACTCTAGCAGCTTCATGACCGCGACCGTGAACACCGCCACCAGCATGCCGAAGACCTTCAAGTGGTCGTAGTCCCCACTACCATCCTTCTTCTCAGGATTCTCCTCCATGGCTGCCGCACCTTGAACTTGCATGCAGCAGCCCAACACCGCCACCAGCCCTCGACACTTGTTCACCTCCAGTCTCACCAGAGCTGACTTCTCAATGTCCTCTTCACTCTCCCCTTTCGCCTTCATGCCCATCAACTTCATGAGCTCCTTCAGCTTTGCCCCTGTCAAGGCCTTGGTGCCCACGTCGGCGATCATCTCGACTCCAGGCAAATGCCGAACTCGCCATTCATCCGCTTGGATCCTCCACCGAAGGTGAAAGGCACG